CGTTGAATTAGGTTTTCTGCTTGATTTTATTGTATTTGTGGTAGAAGTTAAGAATCCTAAGCACCTGAATCCAGCACACCAGCAAATTTTAAGTAATGTCAGTATGTCACTAATGTGCCAGGCTTGTGTCAAACATAATCCTACTTCTATCAGCATAGTGTCAAACCAGAGATTTTTTGGAATCAGTTCATTTTTAATTTCCTCATTTACCTAATATTTAAACCAATTTCCTATGCAAGTATGTATGATCAGGCTGGTATCCAGTTCCAGGATACTTTACTCGCAGTATGGAATTCTGTATAGGTAATATATTATCATGTTAACATAATAAAATGTATCGAAAACTTACCACCTTACACCTTCCACCAAAGTGACAATTGATACTCATTACACTGAGCTCGTCCTGTCTCTTATACACATCTAGATGTGTATAAGAGACAGGTNATAATTTGTTCACGTTTTAGGCTTCCGAAAATATTTCAAACCTCTATCAAAAATATCATAATTAATCATTCTCTTGCATTGAGCATATGAACGTTATGCCTCGTGCTGCCGCATCCGCGATCGTCATTCGTTTCTGTCAGTTGCATGCCGGGACTTGCTCCGATGAATTGCGTGTTTATTGTGTGCATCATGGAAAAGTTCTTTGCTGTCACATTAAGAGACAAATCTTTAACGAACTAGTACTTTTTATAATTTTAATTGTTGAGTGCAAGCTGCCCTGCAGACACGCAACATTTCCAAGTTAAGTGATTACTTTATAGAAACTTTTTATACCTTTACCTATACGTGTTTAAGCCTATAAGAAGTTTATTTTTTTGCCTCAAATAATGTTGTATCGAAAAACTGGTCTAGGTGTATCGGGAATAATATGTGAACTGTAAATTTTAGAATTCCATCCTGCTTTACTGGTCTACTTATAGGACACAAAAATGATCTTGAGGGAGAGTCTAAAAAACTCTCTTCTTTGCCTAGTTAGTTTATCAGTGACAATGAAGTGAGTGGCATGATTGGAAATTTCCTACTTGAAACTATGGCACTAATAATCTCCATTCTACACACCAGGGTGAAGAAGGTGGAAGCAGCGTTGCCAATATATGGGTTTTTAAGCCCAAAGCATCGCCGACCATTTTCAAGATGCGTCGCCGGGTAATTTTTAATGAAAAGGCATTTACACTGAGTAATGAAAAACTATTTACAAGCCACAAACTTATTTACAAGGTTACATGCACGTGTTACCCCAAATAACTAATTTTACCCTAAAAACAGTCCGACTGTACAGCAAGTGTCAACTGAACATGTGATGATGCAGTCTGACTGCTCTAATGTGACCGCAACTATGATTTTGTTTACATTTTTTGGCAGGAACTCATCGCAACCAATTTCCGGACAAGCTTTACTGCATCCTGATCCATCCAACCTACTGTACTGAAAACCTTACTTTTTCTAAATAGTTGGCTGAAGACTGACAAATATATTAAATGCAAGAATTACAATCTAAATGTGTTGGCAAGATCTTCTAAAGGTGTAAATTTTGCTACTGAAGCATTGCCAAAGATCTTGCAATATTCATCCACTCTCTGCACAGTGGTACTACACAGTACACAGATTCTTCCTGAGCCTCCTAAAGAATAATACAACTCACAACTGTACAAGACATATCATATATTGTATTTTAGACATAGGTAATATGCCTTGAAAAACTTTCTTGCATGCGTTGTGTGCATTTTCTTGCATTTGCAAAGGGTGCCACTTTATATATTATGCTATAAAAAACATTGATATTGGGTCATTAATGATGGATAGTGAGAAAACAAGCTAACAGTTTTCTGAGGCTTTGAGCATGTTTCCTGAATTTCAAAGCTTTGCCTATGCCCTATAGTTGCATAGTGACAGTCACAGTGGAGTCAGTGGACAGTGCAATTCTAGGATTAGCTGTAATTTTCAGTATTGGCAAAGTGCACCTGGTTTTGGTACCCTCATGGTTAAATACCTTTTTTTCCAGAATTTCTTTCGGCTGAACAAGTTGCGACGACTTGGTCTGAGCGACAATGAAATTCCTCGCATCCCTCCTGACATCCAGAACTTTGAGAACCTGGTTGAGCTGGATGTGTCTCGTAATGGTGAGTTAGAACTTTTGAGCTGGATGTGTCTTGAAATAGTCAGTTAGAACTTTTGAGCTGGATGTGTCTCATAATGGTGAGTTAGAACTTTTGAGCTGGATGTGCCTTGAAATAGTGAGTTAGAACTTTTGAGCTGGATGTGTCTTGAAATGGTGAGTTAGAGCTTAAATAACCTAGTTGAGCTGTATGTGTGGTGAGTGTATACAATGACAAAAAAATCTTTGACTGCAATGACCAAAATGAATATGAATATATATAAATGTATGATTGTAGAACAATATCAGATGTCATGGTGTGAAAACCCACCAGTATCCTAGTATCCTAGATTTTTACTATTGGATGGCTTTCAAAAATTCATCCAATGCAGATGAAAAAACTAAATCATAAAATTATACCTACTTTATCTTAAAAACGCTATTTGAAAAATAATTTATACATATTTCTTAAGTTATAATTTAATTAAGTTTATTTTGCAGACATTCCTGATATTCCTGATAACATCAAAGCCCTCAAGAGCCTGCAGGTGGCTGACTTCTCCAGCAATCCCATACCCAAGTGAGCAATGACTCTGCAGACTTTTTTTCCACTTGGAACTTAATTTATTCATTTTTATTTTTTTTTATTAATTTATCAGCTAATTCATCTTGCCTATCTTAAATGTGTTGTATGGTAAACGGTTAAAGTTTTTTTATTTGATTTAGTTGCCCATTTTGAATGAATTTGTGATGTTGTTTAGTTGATAATTTAAATATTATTGTTTAAATTTTTGGTCATGATGTTAAATGTTGTGTATTTGAATTCTGGATGGCATATGTGTTGCATAATCATTTCTGATGACTTGAATCATTCTAGGATTTTGTTGAAGAATTCATGCTATATGTAATTGTCTTACCTCAATTCACCTATTTAATAAATTATTTATGTATTCATTAATTGATTTATGTATTCAGGCTATTAGTGGATGCTGAACATTAATAGGTCTTAGGCTATTAGTGGATAATAAAGACTAATAGGTCTTAGGCTCATAATAGGTCTTGAAATTTGACTGAAAATTGAGGCTGTGCATGATCTCTATCATTTATGAAGTACGGTACTTATATAATTAGTAAGTATCTAGCTTTGCTATGTTCTGGAAGTTTAGTTCTGCATTGAATTAATGATTACATGCTAGGAAAGAATGTTCCTTTCCATTGTCTGTAAAGTTATTCACTTTTGATTGAAAATATTTTTCTTGTGCAGGTTGCCCCCCGGCTTCACGCAGCTCAAGAACCTAACAGTCCTGGGCCTCAATGACATGTCCCTCACCAACCTCCCTCTTGACTTCGGCAGGTAGGAAGCTTACTCATGCATATAGCAACACACTCATCTGTTCCATATATCATCATTCCTGTCTCCATTGCTGAATGTTGAATTGCGCTGGTAGAAATCGTACTCATGCATATAGCAACACACTCTTCTGTTCCATATATCATCATTCCTGTCTCTATTGCTGAATGTTGAATTTTGCTGGTAGAAATCGTACTCATGCCTGTAGGGACACACTTTTCTGTTCCATATATCATCATTCCTGTCTCCATTGCTGAATGTTGAATTTTGCAGGGAGGAAGCTTACTCGTGCATATAGCAACACACTTTTCTCTCCCATATATCATCATTCCTGTCTCCATTGCTGAATGTTGAATTTCTCTGGTAGAAATCGTACTCATGCCTATAGCTATACACTTTTCTGTTTCATATATCAACACGCCTGTCTCCATTGCTGAATGTTGACTTCGGCAGGTAGGAAGCTTACTCATGCATATAGCAACACACTCTTCTGTTCCATATATCATCTTTCCTGTCTCCATTGCTGAATGTTGAATTTCGCTGGTAGAAATCGTACTCATGCCTATAGCAATACACTTTTCTGTTTCATATATCAACACGCCTGTCTCCATTGCTGAATGTTGAATTTCTCTGGTAGAAATCGTACTCATGCCTGTAGGGACACACTTTTCTGTTTCATATATCATCATTCCTGTCTCCATTGTTGAAGTTTACAACAATAACATTCCTATCATCAGAGAAAACAGCAACGTGCAAGAGAGAGTTTTGAACAGAATCGTGATAATTTAATTTCATCAGTACTTATGCCTTGTATATATGTAATCATTCCAAGTGTCACTCACAAGATGAGTTTTGAGTTTACATGTCATTGAAATTCATTATGAGTAAACGGGTGTTATTTTTCTATACTTTAAATTTGATGAAAATTTCCAAATTACATTTTTTACCTTTGATGATTTTAATTGATGCAATTTCTTATGATTGACCTTACAAAGGAAAGTGTAACGAAAATTTTATTGACTTTTCTTCCGGCAGCCTTGTGAACCTGACTTCACTGGAACTCAGGGAGAACTTGCTCAAGAGTTTGCCTGAGAGCGTTGCTCGGCTCACCAAGCTCGAGAGACTCGACATTGGTGATAACGACATCGAGGAGCTGGTCTGTATTACTTACTTTCTTTATCCTTAATTCCTTCTGTAATGAATTAATTTTTCTGCCTAAAGAGATATATACAGAGAATGATGGGATGTCAGCTGTACTCCATTACATTTTTCGTGCTGATGTCTAAAACATGCAGAAAAAAATTTAGATTGTTTTTTTTTTCATTCCAGTCATATTCAATGGTTGATTTAGAATTCAAATTCTTCATGTTGCTTCATTTTAATATTCACAACTATACTAGAGCTTGATTTTCAAGCGATAAGGTATATTTTTTCATTCTATTTGATAATTGTTGTTTCAGTAGAGCCTCAATGGTTCTAGATTTCATATGAACGACATTAATGCATATTTTGTTCATTTTGACAGCCAAGTCACATCGGTGACTTGCCATCTCTGCAGGAGCTGTGGCTGGACCACAACCAGATGAGTCACCTACCCCCAGAGATTGGCAAGCTCAAGAACCTGATGTGCCTCGATGTCTCCGAGAACCGTATTGAGGACATCCCTGAAGAGCTGGCAGGCCTCGTCAACCTCACAGACCTGCACCTCAGCCAGAACCTGATCGAGACGCTACCTCCCGGCATCGGCCACCTGCAGCACCTCACCATATGCAAGCTCGACCAGAATCGCCTTATTTCCCTCCATCCCAACATTGGACGGTGGGTATTGCTTCTTTATATTTATCATTAATCACTATAGTCTACGTGATTCATATTAATTTTGGTAATAAATTGACATTGGGCAATGTTTTTTTTTTAAACTTTAATGAGACATAACATAGGTTTATTCATGTAGGTAATCAATTATAAAGTAATCAAGTACATGTTTCTAAGGAGAATATAATGATTCTGTAGTATCTTTATTATCGTCCACTATCGAGTGTCAGGTTTCAAAACTAGGAAATTTATAATCGTTTGTACACATGCTTTATGTTGTACGTGATGATATATTTTACTTGAAATTAATATACTAATTATATGACCAGATTATTCAGTAAGCTTATTCATGAGCACTCTAAGTTAATTTTCACTTTCCCATTGAAGGAGTAAACCTCAATTCTAATGATGCCAGCAGCTTGTGAGCTCCTGGTTAATCCATGACAACATGTGTTTGTTTTCAGATGCGAATCTCTGCAAGAACTCATCCTAACAGAGAATTTATTGTTTGAACTGCCGAGTTCTATCGGCAATCTCGTGAGACTCACAAACCTGAATGTGGACAGAAATCGTCTTACTCATCTACCCCGAGAGATCGGTGAGGCCCTTGACCTTTTATGTTTATTTAGTGTAATTTGGGTCGGGGGTAAAGTAACTTGTAAATTTAAGCAAAACTGCTGCGTAAGTTTTTCGTCTACCTTTGATTTAACTGGTAATTGATGGAAGGCACCAGTTATTGATGATACTTCCAGGAATTGATGGAAGCATCAGACTGGATGCTTTAAAAGTGATTTTAAAGCATCCAGTAGATTCATTTCTCATTGTCTGTCTGGATTTAGAGCCTCAATAAGGTCTGTTTGTTAATTTGAAGAAACTATTTTCATGAATTTATTCATTCTTAATTGGTTTTGAAATCCATGGATTATTATCTGTCGCTTTATAGCAAAATATTAATGAGACATTCCTGGTATTTAGTAGCGTCATGAAATATTCTTTACTATTGTCTAGTGCTCTCAGGACACAAATAATTGTACTACCACATGTAGAGCTCGTGCTAATTGGTGTACTGTCTCTTCATAACGCTAATAAAAAGTGTTAATATTAAACATGAATTCATACATGTAGAGCTACATTCCTATTATTCATGTAAATATTAATTCATGCGTGCAGGTGAGCTGGTTAGCCTGGGCGTTCTGTCTCTGCGTGACAACAAACTCACGCACCTGCCCTCTGAGACCGGCAACTGCAGGAACCTGCACGTGCTCGACGTCTCTGGCAACAGGTCTTTCTGACGAGCAGCTTGCTTATTATTATAAGAAATCGCTTACCAGTTCCCATTTATAACGCTTGCTACTCCCCCGCCGGTGTTTTTTTTTATAGAAATGACGAATAATTTATCGCCTTTTAAGTAGGTTATAAATATTTGCTTTACGATCGCGTCTTGTCCGGGGTTGACTTAATGAAGTTTTCTCAGAATGCTGTAGGACTGCTTACGTGACCATGGGAAAAATTGAGGTTCAAAATTGTTCATCATTTCTATTTGCTGGCAGGGTAGAGAATGTGCTGCTTGAGATTAGCTAACTGATTAGCATTCTGTTGTACATGCAGACTGCAGTATCTGCCGATCTCAATCACGGCGCTGAACCTGAAGGCGGTGTGGCTGAGTGAGAACCAAGCCCAGCCGATGCTCAACTTCCAGACTGAGGTGAGAAGCTTCATGTCTACAACTGAACCATCAAAACTCAAATCTCTAAAGCAACTATACAAGACTGAAACTTGAATCTTGATTCTCTCGAACTGTTCAGGTTTGAGATTTACAGTTTCCGTATTTAATCAAAACATTGATTTCAAAACACTGATGGCGTCTTACCTTTTTACCTAAAAAGTTTTTCCATTGATTTAGTAGAAAACATATAATCTTATATTAGTGTGTATCACACAAGGCTCGACTTTTTTCGCGAAATATTTGATAGAAAGCTCGTGAGGTTGAGCACGCGTTTATTCATAGCAACCACGTTGCAATTTATGTATACAAACTTTTATTATGTATTAGATCATCGAGGAGACGGGAGAGGAGGCGCTGACGTGCTTCCTGCTGCCTCAGGAGGAGTACCAGCACGACGGTGGTGGTGAGTGGCGTGCCCTGGTGGCGGTGGTGGGATTATTGATGCTGTTCTTATTATTACTAATTAAGATTAACTGGTGCTATGCTAATGCTAGTCAGCTGGTCTTGCTGCTGCTGAGTTTTATTCTGTGGTGCAAGGAATTGAGGAAAGCATAACACATTTCCGCAAGTCGCTGCCTCCTGCTGATTGATAACCGCCATAAATTTGCAATATCTGCCTGTAACTAATATGCGACGCCGCTATAAGATGAAACAATACCGCGCTACGAATAATCAGTGCGACTACCAGACAACTGCTACATAAGGTCTTCATTTACACCTCGGAAACTTGGTTCTTTGTGCAATAGTGAAATTCTCAATTGAGTGCCAGTCGCTTCGCACTTGTGTTGTTTATCTGCTGCTGCTATTGTGCTCCTGTCGTTGCTAACATGTTTAAGTCTGTCCTTGTGGCAGCAAAAACTAGAACAAGGTTAGTGAGTAGAGAACACCACATGGATATATCGTTGTGAGAGATGCGCTGACATTTGCGTGCAGCTGTACGTAGTGAATGGCATCTGAAAGTATCAAAAACGCCCTAAGGACTGGACGACTCGTCTTTTTGATTATAAGTCAATATAAGTTATATTATGCGTAGTCCAGTGTACGACTATAGTTAATTATATGGCAACCTCAAATACGTCTCTAGTTGAACGTTGGGTAATGAACTACAATTAAAAAGAAACGTTTTTTTTGTCTGAAATCTTATTGAATTTAAATATTGTTTTGCGTTCGAATCAGAGTTCATTAATTTGCAACAAACATTCTGCAAATATTCTGGTGATGCTTGCGTACATGTCATCATCATTTTTCCTTCCCCTCGGTACAGCCAAATTTTTCGGTCAAGTTCATAAATTCACCTGTACATTGCTTATGCGGGCTCAGAAATTGCAGAGTATATATATTTTTGCGTTTTTTTATAACTTGTATTTGTATCTCGCACGTGAGACCTCCCACGGTAGAAAGTGTCAGGTGTGTATGGTGCATTTGTTTCCAGTGACAAAACTAGTTTTTGCGATCGAACACGAAACAATTCAGTGAAAAATTATGCGTATGCTGTAGTCCAGTTGCCGTCTTAATTGTGTTTTGATCAGGTCCTAAATGAGGCTAGCGCTGATGGCGAACTTGAGTAGCTTAGACGTCGTGTGTATGATGTATATGAGACAGTGAATGTTGTGTCTCGTCGCCTGGACATGAAGCCATAAATAACAAACGATAGTAAGAGTTCAGCTGTTGTCACATACGTCGATTGTGTACACTATCTCGTAACACTTGCGTACGTTGGTGCTGCAGTAACTCCTATGTACACAGTCTACACCGAGACACTCGCAAACCTTGGTCGTTGCATCGTGTGTCTCCTCCGGCAGTTTGTCTGCATCTGCTGAACAGAAATTATCAGCAGCACTGTTGTGCAAATGAATGAGAGTGAATATATATTATCTTGTGGGGTTCTACGTGTTAATAATATACTAAAAAAGCTTCATGCTTATGCCTTTCGGTTTTTATCTATCTTTAAAAAATTGAAATTTGATGAGCTGTTTTTACAGAGGTGAGTCTCGCTCTTTTGTGATTTATGCAAATCACCGTAGTTGGTATGTCTTTAATGCTCTGCGTGCGTATTATTAAATTTTTTATAAGTTTGAAGCTATTTTAAATATTTTAGCAGGAGCTGCAACCTAATGAGACAGGTTGCTTGTTTGTTTTTCAAAACGCGATTCTCGAGCGGCAAAGACGTCGCACAAAAGTTTTTTGAAAGACGATCTGCTGAGATGGAAGAAATTATTTCCTAACGTTCGCTCTCCTGCTTTGTTTTACATAAGAATTATCCATTCCGACTCGAGCTTCATTCCTATCAAATAAAACTTACCGCGCACCGCGCGGCATTCACGCGTAAAATAATATACAAGCCTTGATCTCCGGACTGTCAAATTGAGCTGCCACGATCTAACACTTGAACTTTCTAAGAGTAGCATTGTAAAACATGCAAAAAAGTTGACTTACGAATTAAATACGCGCTAATAATTATAGTCGTGTGGTGTTTGGCTGGAAATTGTCCAGACCTATTTACTATTATTTGCTGGAAATATAGGTTGAGAATCACTATATAACAACAGTGACTGTGAAGGATAAGTAACGAGTGGCGTATGTCAGGCACTCACTTGAGTGGCGGCGTGGATATATATTTATTATAGTCGATTATTAAGTATAATTATAATATTCGACCATGATAAATAATTCAGTGGCGTGTGTCAGGCATGAGTGGCGGCGTAGACTCGTGGGTGGGCGACGACGAGGACGACATGGACGAGAGCGGCGCCCACAATTTGGACGGCACGAGACACTCGGTCGTCAAGTTCCAGGAGGACCAGGACTACGACCTCGCTAAGGAGGTATGTTATTCTTCCTTACACTTACACATTAATTTATAAACTATTCAATAAATTAACTATTGTTAATCAATTTGATAATAAATTTGTGTCCGCTTCACCACTTTGATGAGCTCTTTATTCCAGTTCGCGGCAATTTTTAGTTGGACGTTTTGTTCGGTTTCCAGTCTTCTTCATTGAGCTTAACATTTCGGTTCCTCACACTTCTCTTAGTTTTTGTATGGGTTCTTGCTGTCCTTTTTTTAATTCATTTGTTCCTCGCACTTACTTCAATTGTTTGTTTACATATTTTTTCTTTTAATTCACTTGACTGTTTGTATTTCTTGGCACTTTCATTTTGTTGGCTGAATACGCGTATTATTTCTTCGACCTAGGAGGCAAGAATGCTGTACGAGTATGATGCAATACGCATAATTTACGACTACTCTTTTAATTTATGCACTTGTTCATTTGGCGCACTTTTTCATAATAATCTCTTGCTCATATTACACTCTTGTTCATTTTTCGCACTTTTAATTGAAATCGCTGCTTTGGTTCCTCTTACTTTATCCTTCTACTCACCTGTTAATTTTAGTCATATTGCATTTTTTGACATGTTGACATGTTTTAATGGACATTCGAACCAGTTTTGTTACATTTTTCGAATGGAGTTCACTAATGATATTTGGTAGTTTCATTCACTCTCATGGCTGCGTCAATGTTGTCGAGATTATGCCCACATCGCAGTGACGATTACTTCTCTTCAAGCTCTGTAGAATTTATAAAGTTGAACAAATATTTATTATAATGAGAGATAATTCATTACCACGAGTAGTCGACCAACGAACGAGGTTGGGTTTCGTGATCTGCATACTGAGCTAAGGCCGTTCTATCAAAATTCGTACAAGTACGGATACATTTAGCGGATTTCTTGTCTGTGATTGGTGGGTTTAACTTGAAATTGAAAAGCTGTCAGTGATTCGCTGACAGGGTTAAGAACTCAACTATTTGACGCGATGTCGTCGGTAGGTGAGCATCTCTCACATCGCTAACGCCGAATGTTCGAATGATTATACGACGATTATAGAAGCTAAAATGCACCTCAAGAGAATTCTAAGTTGGAATTTCATCTTAGCAAACTTGATCTATAATTGTAAGATGCTTTGATCTTAATTGAAATGCTCCAAGATAATTATTAGTGTCGGCAAAGATTGTTATGAGTTGATAAAGAGATCGTGCTACGTTATAATCTCGTTATTTTTTTTTTAGGAAATCCTGCCTTGGATCTCACTTTCATGGCAGCCATACTAAGTTTGGAAATTATGACAATGATAGGAGAGTAGCAGTCGTGCTCACGGTTCTTTTCTCCCTCTTTGTGCTGCTGATGTGTATAGCAATTATACAAACGACTTGTTGACACGTTGGTGAGTGAGTGCATGATCCGTGCCACTTGTTCAGTGCTCAGTGCCGAACCTGAGGCGGTCTTTTTGTTGTAATTTTTCTCCTATTCTGAGCTATCTCAGTCTCTAATATAAGATCGCTCTGATACTTTTGATACTTTAATGCATGAGCACTCGAATGTAATTTATGTATGAAGAAGAGTTTGATAAAAATGATATCGTTATCGAATTACGTGGAGGCCCCGCTCTACAGCTACGTCAGCTCTGCAGTTCTACTGTCATCTCTGACTCAGGATATAACGGGCACCGCAGAGCTTGTTGTAACGTCTGCTAATGTTCTTATTACTTCATCCAAAATTTTTTGATGTCACTTCCAAAATTCTTGTCACTGCTAAAATTCTTCTCACCCTTGCAAGAATTCTTTCTGTTACTCCCAAAATTCACATTACCCCGACCCAAATTCTTGTCATCCCTGCAATTTTTTGTTGCCCTAACATAATTTAATGAGTTTTCTGTGATTTTGGCCACGTTTGCAATTTTTATTGCCCCGGTAAAAATTATTACACTGCTGAACTTCGCATCAATGGCTCGTGCGGACATCTTTGCCTCCACACTTGTTACTCTCGTCGACATTCTGTCCATCTTCGAGATGAAGTTGTGTGAAGCTAGCCTGTGACAGTGATTCTTTGACGGTGTGATGTGGCATGGGGAAGTTGACCTCTGTCTCTTTCTCTGTGATCGCTGCGTGTTTTATGATGTTAACGCACCTTAGTTTTGAAACCTCAAGTACAAGGCAGGTTCGTTGTTCTTCACCGTTGAGAATCCAGTGCCTAGTTTAGTCGAGTTTCCAGAGCGTGAATTTTTGAACATGCATGGGATGGTGGTATTTTGGTCATTGCATCTGTACCGCTTTGCTCAGATATTGTTACGGCGAGTGCATTTTTTTCTTATCGAGTTTTTTTCTTTTGTCGGAATATCATATGTTGCTACATGCTCGAAATTTGTTAAGTTTAACTCTATTCCTTGTGTATTTTGGCAACCTTTTTAGCTCCTACAGTTCATTCCTAGAATTTAAAGTACTAGTTATCTTGTGAAGTGTGTCACCTAAACTTGCTAGAAACTTCATGGATTGCACGTTGCCAATATGCTTGTTATTGAGCGCTGCAACGTAAAGCTCGTTTTATCTGACAGTATATCACACTTTGGGGTTAAGTTTTCATGTAGTTTCGCTGTCAAAAGTAGTAATGTGAATTTAAATCGTCGCAGTCGGGACCAGCCTCGTGCGAACATGACTTGATGCGACTTGAATTCGTTATTGACGGCCTAGTTTGAGCTGTTAGCGAAGGTACTGCAGTCACGGCGCGAATTTTTACTGAGTTGAAGTTGTTATTCGGGTCCCTCTGCCTCTAGGCCAAGAAATACGTGCTGCGCAGAAAGCCCACCTCCACTCAACTGTTGCTCAAAACACAACTGCGATTGTTGTTGGAATTGTCGATCTTTTGATAGTGGCAACTTGGTAGTACGGTTTATAAGTTTTTCATTCATGACACTAAGGCCACTGGTAGTTTTATCACTGGTTTGCTGGACAGACCGAATCATTTCTTGCATTACGCAACACCCTGGACAAGTCAGGTACTTTTTATAAACCAGAATTGAATGGATGGATGGCTGGCTAAGTTCGCTATGAGCCGAGTTGCCCGAAAGCACTTGTCCTGAGTGAGATTCGAACCCGTGTAGCTGATGTGAGGGTCAGATCTTTCACCACAGCAACTCTACAACTGCGGTCCTCGCAACAGTAGCTCAGACCACAGTTGCATGTCAGATGCTCAGCTAGACAGCACTAATGCTGTCTGTTATAGCCGTCAATACCGAGCAATCTTGTACAAGATTTGCGACTTTGTAGGGATGCATTCTAGGTTGGTTTCATTGTATTTCCTTGCCCTGTGTCTTGTGCGAGGGGTTGACGTCTGGTACGAGTACCTTCATCGACACGCTACCCGTCTTTTTTGTTTGTGTCGGTTTTTGTATTATTCATTTGTAACTGCTGTGAATTTCATACGGAAATTGAACGTGATGCTGTTTATGAACATTTTTTGTTTCATGTGGGATAACGACCACAAGCGTTTCGAGTGGTTGTGTTTGTATTTTCATTTATTTATTTATTTATTTATTCAGCTTTGATAATTCTTATTTCTGACGGCTGACTCGCTTCCATCGTATTTTTTCGTTGATAGATGACAATTTTCACTGCTTTTCGTTGCTTCTGATCATTTGAGTTGACAGACAGCCCTTTTTTTTCTATTCTTTTGTTTCTCGTCATCATTTTATTTGACACTCCTTAGTTGAAGCTGCATTGTTGCATTTAATTATTTTGGGTAATAAGAAGACTTTTTGCAACATGTAATTGAGTAAGACGCTTTTAATTCTCTGCGCACTACTAAACGTTGAAGCATCTACAAGGCGGTATTCCGGAGCTAATTATGTGAACCAATGTATCATGCATTGGTTTACCATCAATGTACACACACTTGGTTCACAATGCATATAAATATTATGCTTTGCTTACTATTTGTATGCAAAGTGTGTTTGACCTCCTATTCATGTTGAATGGCCTCCCTTCCACTAATTTTTTCTTTATAGGTGTGGATTTATAGAGGAATTTAGGCTGTGACATATCCGTTCTAGTTAATGACCCATCCCTCATTTGTGTTTATCGTCTTAATGAATGTTTCTCACTCTTCTACTTATCCGCTGGTGATATCACTGTTGCTATTTTTCGTCTTAACAATGTCTAGTTTTCGGCTTTAAATATCAAACCTCTTCAAATTTGGTTTATCCGAATGTTTGTGCAGCATTGGTTTTTCCCTGTGTGGCTGGTTCAGTATCCAGTTTTGACCTCCGTAATCCAATTTTTATCCAGCTTCGCTTCTGTGGCCTTATTTTGTCACGTTTATCTAATATGGTTATTCGAAATATCAGTGGTCTTGATGGGTTTGGAGCCTTTTAGTAAACTGTGTGCGAGAACAACTTACGTCAGATTCGAATTTTAATTAGTCAAGGCTTCCGCGTGTTTCTAATGACAATTTGTCTTGCACGAAAGGTGTTTGGCTATAGATTATTACGTTGATGTTAATAGGAACGTTGGCGTTCGATTATATTTTGTAACGTAGATGTTAATAGGACTGTCTCTTTGCTGTGTTTCCTAACTTTGCGTAACGAGAGATTTGTTTTGCAGAGTAACTTCGTCCGGCACAACACGCCGCATCCTCGAGACCTGAAGGCTAAGGCAGAGAAGCTCTTCGGCAAGGGCGGCGTCCCACCGGCCACTGCCAACTCTTTTGCCACGCAGAACAATGCAGTGCGTTCCAGCTTATCTTACTGACACTTTGGAACTATTCTCCCATAATCTTGTTTGGTTGACCACCCATCTTGTTAAAAGTATCCAATATTATCCAAAAGTATCCGTCCATAATCTTGTTCGATTGAGCTTTCATTTCGCGGTACATCAACTACAGGTTTTCAATGTGAATTGTGACCTTTAACTTATCTTGTGAATGGCTGATTAGTTTAAGGTCTGTACTATTAACTGTACTATTAATTAATTGTACTATTTGCACCATTTGCTGTGTAACCCCATTTCGGGTTGATTCCTTCCATGTTGGTGTCTTCCATGTAACAAAAACGTTCAAATTATTTTTTCATTTGTTGAAACTTATTTGTGACCACAATCTGCGTTGTGCAGGTTCTGACGGAGGAGACCAGCAGAGAAGATGCAAGCTGTACAGACGGCAAGCCTCAGCAGCAGCAGAACCACAATGCCACTTACGTCGTGGAACCCGCTCCTCAGAACGCGTCCTCAGGCGTCACTGCCGCCACGTCGCCCCCGACCACCGCTACAACCACCACCACTACTGCTGCTGCCGCAGGCGTCGCTGCATACGACACCAACTCCAGTAACTCGCGTGAGGTCTGTCATGGCATGAAGGCCATTTGTCTACATTTGTTGATTGCCATTACTATTCGTTTTATAGTCTACTTGATCAATTTATGAAGCCAATTTTTACCTATGTAATGTTGAATCTCCTGTCTCAATAATTTTAATATTTAACAAAAAGAAGCTTGCAACACGAGGGATTAGTGCCCACCACTGTCTGGTGTGGATGCTAATCTTACTGAACCATCCGTAAAATCTCGTTGCTTATTTTTCTTTTTCGAAATTCTTCCTGCGTTTACTGGGAAAAATTTTACGTGCGGGTTAATAGTTAATTTCGTGGCTCAGGTTAGCAGTGATGACGAGAGCTCACAAGACGAGGAGCGCGAGAGACGTGTTGCGTTCGCCGAAGAAGCAGCAGCAGAACGAAGAGACGAAGAGGGCCTTGACGCTGATGGCGAAGACGACGAAGAAAGACGCGACGTGAGGCCAAGCCGGCTGCACAGACGTGACACGCCTCACCATCTCAAGAACAAACGTATCAGCGCCACCAACAAGACGGCTGATCTCGAAAAAGTCGCGGCCATCATCGCCCAGGTGGGACTATGGGCTGACATAGCGACGTACGCGTCCTCTAATTCCTGCTAGCTCCCCTCGTGTATGTTGGCTTCCTCTGACTCAAACCGTAGTAGCCATCTCCATTTTATTTTGTCGTTCCTGATTTTCATGCTCACTTGCCCAAGACATCAGTTATTTTTGTCAAAATGTAACGAAGATGTTAAATCAACTTTCATTACCTAATGATTGTTACTAATTTCTTCTGGTTGTTAACATGCGATTGATCTCATAAATCTGTCTCTAGTTAACCTATCCGCTTCCTCCTAAATTTTTCGAGGCTGTTTATGCTAATGTTGAAGTTATCAGTTAGTATAATGTTTAGGTATTGTAAATCTTTCCTTCCTGTTGGTTGAAGTCATGAAATTGATTCTGTTTTCCGATGCAGCCCGGAAATGTGGACACCATCAATGTAAGTAAAGAGTTTCACGTTCGTTTTACCCACACTCGTAAGTTAGAACGTGTTTATCACACCTTCGATGTCCCTCGAAAGCTGCTTTGCATGTAATAAATTATTTGTGCATCGGTTGCGAGTGTACGGGACAGCTTCATCCTGGGGCCACGGTTCTGTACCTGGGTTTCTTGATGGCTGTGATGCACGTTTATTGTTCGTCAATGTAATCGGGAATATGAGCGTCTGATAATAAAGCAGCTGTTTAGTTCTTAGCAGTGGCTCACTTCACCCTAAATGAAACTTCAGCTGTTCTAGGCATGGATCAAAGGATCAGGAAATTTCGGATTGAAGGCCAATGATGAATCTTTATGGCCTTAAACGATCTATTAATATCTGTTTTGTGCTCCATATTCGTTCACTTGTTAGCTGTCACGATGTCGGGTGAACGAAATATTTCATTAGGTGTGCCTTAATGAAACTCTCCATCTAAGCGAATGCCACAGACAAGTAGAATTTGGCTGAAAACAAGGCTGGTTTTGTGACCTTTGTTATTTTTATTACTCCCAACATTCTCATTACCCCTGCCCAAATTGTTGTCATCCTTGCAATTTTCTTGTTGCCCTAACATATGGCCTTAAACGATATGTAAATCGTTTACTTTTATTTATTCATTTGGTGACCTTTGTTGTTTTTGGTGACCTTAGAAGTGTTTTGGCGAATTTCTGGCTCCTTGCACCTTTGCTTCGTATAATACGATGGAGGGAATAAACTTGTCTTGTTTGGTGTGTATCAATAGCCTGGGCTTACATTGTTCCCACTTCTAAGGCCTGAGCTGCTTTCTCATTTTGCTTTTAACATATTGTAACTCTGAGGGGTCTCAATTGTCTATCTTGCTATGACCATTTGATGGGACCTAACAGAATGAGACACGTGGATCCGTACGATTCAATTACTCGGCACCGGTAAACCTACTGCCTTCATGTTGATTTGCTTGATTTTGCACCGCTACTTTCGTCAATGCACTTTTCTTTCTGTCGGTCATTTATTTCGTATACATCCCATTTTTTTCTTGTGGACTGTTCATCTACATGCGCACTGCTTCTCTATCGTTTATGCCAGTTCCTTCGGTCGAAACACTGTTCGCTCATTATTTAGTTAAAATCTGTATAACAAGGTGCGAATCTAACTAATTGATAGTAAATTATTTTGATGTTGTTATTTTGTTAAAATCTATTTTAAAGATTGAGGGTCAGTCGGAAATCTACACATCGCACGGAGCTTCGATCTGATACCTAGTGTATTTTGTCTATCGTTATATTTGTTGTCAACGAGCTTTTAACATGGCTGCCATTACTCTTTACGTCCTTGCTATTCCAGTCATTTGTTTTAGGCCTTCTTCCCAAAAGGCACCTCCCTTTTTCGGCCTCTTTGCATGCACGGGGGGTTGAATTGAAATAGTTTTTTAGCTCTTGTCATCAGGTTCGGTCGGAAACTCCTATGTGAGCTTCCAACTGAGATTGTGTAACAAATTTCGCTCTCCACAGGGAGAGCGTTTTGATTTCCCTGGCAACGACCAAAATGTTGTGTTCCTTACCAATTTATAGGTAACGATTTATTTTTTACGTTCATTCTTACAAGTTTCAGCTTTTTAGCTTGTACAAACCTTCAAACAATTTGGCTTTCCTCCTCGGCCTCCCTCGGTATCCGATAAGCCATCACGTAGTGCAACAGCTAAAGAAGAATCAGTATTGATTTGAATAGTTTCATGCACCTCATGCAAATGTTAGTAACTTCTCTCACTGTAAACTCTCGCTCAGCATCAGCAGCAGTTCCAGAAGCTCCAGGTGGATGGCAACGCAGCCTCACCGCTGGCGTCTCCTCAGCTGCCCAACAACCACATCGGTTAGTTCCAGGGCGTCTCTTAGGGAATTATTTTGTTAGATTGATTATTATAAGAAATATTTTATCTGAATGTAGTCAGGAATAAATGTATTACAGAGATGAAATGTACCATAGCTCTTCATAATCGTTATTGAAATGCGGTTCGTATTCAGAGCCGTATAACGTTAGTATAACGCGGTTCAGAGCCGTTTGTTATAGCGCGCAATAAGTATCATAAATTGGTATTCTAATTGGTGTTTTCTGACCATTATGCCAGTTATGTCAATCTACAGCCTTCATATAACATACTGTCTTGCATTACACCATTGCCGACCTATTTTGGACAACTTACCAGTATAAGCATAGTCTATATTCTCGTATAAATATGGCCTTGGCGGTATCCTGTTCGTGTATCGCCCAATCGCAAACATGGACATACAATAATAAACAACTTTATGATCATCATCCGATTTTTAAGAATCGGACTGCTGGACAGGTGACAAGTATTAACTTTTGAGACACAGTCGGTACTAGAGGCGTAACATTGCATTGAGGCCGAGCCTTAGCATGTTTTACTTCCATGTATTTGTCCAGTTTAGTATTGCTGAAGTTGTGTCCTCATAAGAATGAAAGGACGCATTCAAGACATTGTATGATCAGGCTTTGTGTCAAGACCAGAGACTCGTTAGTTATTAGTGTTCATTATAATGTAATACGCAGTGCGCATGCATGAGCCAACATGGCTTCGTCTTATAGGACCCGAGGTACGTCAGTTATCAGTGCGTGTGGAGCGCACGTCAGGAGGTCTGGGCCTGAGCATCGCTGGCGGCCACGGCTCGACGCCATACAAGGGCTCGGATCAGGGCATCTTCATCTCGCGTGTCGCTGAGGGCGGACCGGCCTATGCTGCCGGACTCAGGGTCTGTATCTTATCTCTGGCGTTTAATTATTTGATGAAACCATCAGTGATGTTTTGGCAACTAAAATGGCTGCTCAGGTGCCACGACCGAATTTGCTGACGGCCGTTACTCTCACGATTGAATAATTGGTTAAATGATTTCCTTGCTTTCACGATTACGTGACATGCAATATCTTAGCAGGTTGCGTTACTTTCATAACTTGGTGTGCAATTTTCAATTTCTATTGTCGAGTCTGTAAAAGCCACTGCCAACGGAGAGCTGCTTTACAATCATGGCGACTTCACATAGTCTGGTGGTGATATGAATCAATAGTAATTATCATTTTCGTATAAAAATCTTAGTCTTATTTTTGATGCTGGGGGAATTAGTTTCGGCCATTCGAGCTTCTTCACCATCAATCGCGCACGATAGGAACTCGCAGCATCATTAAACAGTCTCAGGAACTCTCGGTGCAATTAGAGGCCCAATAAGATGCTGTGAAGAAATTGCACGAGTCTTTGTTATAGTTAAATGCGAATAATTGCTGTGAAATGAAACGTGTGATAATGTAAGAACAAATACATAAAGGAGAAATAATGAATATGAAGTTGTAATATAAATGGTGTAGTGTTGCAAGGCCTTGGTTAATTCTTTAATTAAGCTCCGATTTCTGGAATGCTTTCATGTAGTCTTTCATTACTAATTATTTAGGCATTATAATGTATTGATGCAACAATGTTCCTTGATGTCACGCAAAGATTATTAACAATTGTCTGTTCAATTATCGAAGCAAGAAATTCATTGCTAAACATTTTAATTTCAAAGCATGAATTGTGGCAGGTGGGCGATAAGGTGCTAGCAGTGAATGGGGTGGAAGTGGAGGAGGTCGACCACTACGATGCCGTCAACATCATGAGGGAGGCGGGGGCTCAGCTCCACCTGGTCGTCCTCAGGGAGATTTCTCCTGCACAGCCTCTGCAGGTTGGTTTGCCATCATCATCAGGTTTGTTATGACTCTATGCGTTGGTCTGTAGGGATCCTCGGCAGGCCAGTAGCAGTGTTCCACAGGTCGATTACAGTCGTTCACGATGGGAACCAAAGTATCATGACACGTTGAGCGGCTGTACCACACATTCAACTATAAGGGTTGTTCCTCGATACAGATTGAGCTGAAGCTGTGTCAGAGTTGCTCTGTATTGCAAATTTTTTAACTACTCTTTAAATTTAAACTATAACCTGAATAGTTATTTTTTCGATTGATCGCGAATAGTATTTGGATAAAGGGCATTGACAAGACCGATCTATTGCTATTGATGCCATATGCTGGTGGCCGAAGCGTGGAACAAACATTGAATGTGCTCGAAAAGAAACTGTTGATGAATGCATGTGTTCTCATATAAGACTGCAAATTAATTCCAATGTAGATGACGCTTTGCTGAAGCCAACAAGAACAAACAATGTCACCTACATTTTTTTTGGCTATGACTGTTATTGATCTGGGTAGGACTGTCAGGTTAGAATAACTGCTTCTGTCAAGCCATTTGACGCTTTATTATGAAAACAGAGTAATTTTTAGTAATATACGTAATGATGATTGTAATCATTAAGATAATCTGTTCATGGATGGATGATAGATGGCTGTAAGATGTGCAGAGTTTTTTGCTTCAAATTAATGGTGCATTTTGATGAAGGTTGGCGAGGACGCAAGAGGAGCCGCCGCAGCGACCAGCAACCACGTGCCTCTGACTTCTGCGATGACATCTACGCCTCTGGCCGGAGTCTCGTCCATCACCAGCACGGGCATCGGGTCTTCAGGCGCAGGCGCTATTCCTCTCACGCCCGTCGCTGCAAGTGGCGCGCCTTCTGTACCAGTGGCGTCATCTTACGCCCCTCAGCTCTGTGTTGGTGCTGCATACCAACATTACTTGTCTGCAAATTCATATGCTGATCCTCAGCAGCCACACGTTGCTGGACAACAACAGCCCTATGGTGCTGGCCCGCAGCAGCCCTATGCTCCTGGCCTCCAGCAGCCCTATGCTTCTGGCCCTCAGCAGCCATATGCTCCTGGCCCGCAACAGCCCTATGCTAGCGGCCCCCGGCCCTATGTTCCTGGCCCGCAGCAGCCTCATATGACTGTTACCCAGCAGCAGCAGCCGCCCTATGTTACCGGCACACCGGCCCACACCTCATTGTCTGCTGCCGTGCCTGCCACTCCGTCTCAACAAGCTCCTGTGAACGGCGTCCCAACGCCCAACGACATGCAGGTGCGTCTCTTGCAGCTGCCGTTTTCCCTATAATTTAAAAGGCTGACGGAGAACTAGCGATGACTAACGGAAAAATTATTTTAAACAATTATGTATAGTATCTTTGATGAAATCATTTTGGAGAATATGACATCTTCCCGTAAAAAGTTTCTTATTAATTTTAATGTTTAATAATCTGCAAATAATAAATTTTTATTCCTCTCTGGCCACAATAAACTTATAAGACTTACTTCGTCTTGAAAAAATGTTATGTTAACAGCTGGTGCGCGAAACTATCTGCACGACGCTGGTGCGGAACCATGAAGGCCTGGGCTTCAGTATAGCTGGTGGCGCTACCTCGCATGACCAAGTGAGCAACTCTGACAGGATTCCGCTTCTTTTTAAAATGTTTATTACTTTTTTATGTGCTTCAATCTTAATGTTGGAAATTGTAAAACAGTTTTGGTTTAAATGTGACAAGTATCAACATTTCATGTTTGTCCGCAGCCTATTTTCATAAACTGCATCACGGAAGGCGGCGTGGCTGCCAAGGATGGCAAGTTGAGAGTTGGCGATCGACTCATTTCTGTAAGTATTTCTTTCCTTTTTTTATCAAATTGGACTTACTGTTATTTTAAGGAAATTTTTGTGATCCATACCCACAGTGCGATTTCGTGATTTATTTGATTACTTTTTAATTGCAGGAAAAAAATACCGAAATCCGAGCTTGCAGTAAGTTTGTGACGAGTATATTTAATGAAGCTTGTCTATCATTTGCAGATTAATGGCGTAGATCTGGACGGTGCTCGCCACGACCAGGCCGTCAGTTTACTGTCTGGTCTGGACCGCTTCGTGCGGCTCGTGGCACAGCGCGAGTCTCTAGTGACCGCTGAGGTTGCGAAGGAGATGAACGCTTCGGGGCTCGGCGGCTACTCTACTCTCTATAACTCCAACTCTTACATGGCGAACAGACCAAGTTACACAGGCTACAGGCGTGCGCAGCCCACATCACGACTCACTCCCTCCTCTTCAAGCACTGGTCTCAGCAATTCACCAAGTCTAAGTCGAGTCTCACTTACCAACACTCATGACCCAGTCGCTGGTCGCCTCTCAGGTTCAGCACTTCCCCCGCCTCCCAACAACGTCAACAACAGCAACGCCGCCGTGGTTCTCAATAACGGCGTCCTCGACAATAACACTAATGACACTAATAATAACAGCAGCCGCCCAAGAAATACGACTACCTCCATACAGGATGGCACCACTCAGGTACATGATCGCATAATGGCCCGAACTCGTCCTCTTACTAATGAAGATTTCGAAGCTATGATACCTGAACATTTTTTGCGCGGGCAAACTGCTCCCCAGAGCAATGGTTTGGTCGAGTCTGGCGGTATTCATGTGGCCATGCAGCATCCTGCTGTGCCTCATAAGCCCATGTTGCCTGCTGCTCCCACGCAGCTAGGCCAGATCACGGAAGTCTTGACTAAGACCACCTTAACGGAGACCACAGTAACTCGGCTAACTGATAATAGGCTCGCTGAGGTGCCGCTCATTATTGAGGTGGGTTTCACTGTGTCATCATCACGCGCTCTTTCTTTCACGGCGCTGCTTTTCCGGGACTTTGGTTGCTCGCCACTCTTCACTAACACATTTTCTTCTGCTCTCTCCATGACGCACTGGACAATTCATGGACATTAGTATTCTCTTCTAGTGATGGCTAGTAGTGCTGTTGCCTCGAATAATTATAGATTAAAATTTCAACTCTTGGCTCCGAATACGAGTAATTCATTTTCACTTAGACAGTCTTTCACGGTTTGATCCATTCACTTTCACAATAACAAGAATTGAGTTATGTCGTAAAAATTTGGTTTATAACCACACATTTTGTGTAGTATTCCACTTGAGTCTCACACTCTGCCCAGGCCGTCACTTGCTTATCACTATCTAAATTTTCACTATGTAATGTGTGTGACAAACACTAAAAAAGTTCAAGCTGCTAGTCATGGGTCATAAATTTTCTTCTGGTATTCTTGGTCTCACCACTCACACGCATGGTGGCAAAACGAATTTCTTATTCTGACCTGCTGCGTATTTCATCAAAGGTGTTACGTTCGGTTGTATTAAGGTGTTGGTATTCAAGATCTTTCCTAGTTCGCTCAGAGGCGTGCCATCAGGTAATGTTAAGTTGCCCCTGAAGAACTTGTGTTTGCCGCTGAGCCGCATCGCCATAATCGTTGCCGCCAGCCTGATACAACAGGTTTCTTTAAATGCAGATGTTGGATAGGCAAGGCTAAGCATTCTAAGTACAAATGCATACACATCTCATCTTGGCTCTGTGAACACTGCGTTTTATCCAGTTCCATCGTTAGATTCCCGTTTGATTTCATACAATAGAACAACGCGAGGTCCTAGTAGGGCTGAAGCCAGGCTTCATTGGTAATGAGCGTTTTTAGCGCATTTTCTCATTTATGGAAAAAATGCGCTATTGTGCTCGCCATGTCCGTCCGTCCGTGATTTCACGTTTTCGTCGGCGAGAAAATACGCTCTCTGTCACTCACTGCACTGAGTACTGAGTTATATTTTTATAATAAGAATCCTTTTGCTGTTATTGCCGCTGTTTCAGAAAGCGCCTTTTTGATCTCCTCGCTAGCTGTCTACTTATTATGGTTTAACCAGCGAATGCAAATTTCCTTGCAATCATTTGATTTATGTCCCAAATTCAACGGCTTATATAAATATTACTTAGAATATTCAAGAATATTTTCTTACAGGTTTTTATCAACATATAGTGGAATATTAGAACGTGTCTACCATTTGGTAGAAACCAGTTGTAGTTAGAGAAAGGGTTTTTTGAGAATAATTATGTACTCTAAATAGAGTCTCTTATTTTTATGCATTTTTTTTCTCGTAAAACGATGTTTCATTACTAAATCAAACTACATATATCATATCTAAATGGATCATATCTATATTTATATAATAATTATATCGTAACTAGATTATATTTAAAATCTGAATTAATTGAAATACATGAACACATTTTTGAACCGTTTTATTTGTAATTTTATTTTCGAATGCACTACAGCCTCTTGCTATTCGGATTTTCCCCAATATATTTGTTCTAATGAAATATATATTTGCTTGGAGTATGCATAGCGCTGCGCCCATTTTTTTCGGTTCATTCTTCGAAATGCATTAAGCTTAGCATTCTGCAGCGCGCATCCTCCCAAATTCAAAGCCTGTTAGCCTGTAACTGCTTTGTCAACTTCTATCGCGTCATGTTCTCGCTCTGCTGATGAATCGTACGTCTGGTACAATAGTATGTGTTGGCTGAAGTGCTGGGCATCGCTTTAGAGCTTTGGGTTCCTGCCTGGATTTGTTCGCTTGTGTATTGCTTGATGTATTGTTTCCTCTGCTGTGCAAACGTCTACTTGCTAACAGTTCTCTTCTAAAGCGTTCGCCTGGATAGCATATCTTAGAACTCGAATCTTCTTGATTTTAAATCGCTTGCGACTTAATTGATTTACTTTCTTACGACTGTTTGTGTCGCCTCTCGTGTGACCTCCGGTCTTCGTCTTTAATGTAAATGCATGAGCAACTTAGTGCGTCATTAATATTTCTAGAATATTCCTCTTACGTTATAACTTGTGCTTATTCTCGGCCACCTTCAAGAATTTTAATACTATGAAATTAGAATTTCTTTGTATGTGTTGAACAAACTTTATTTATTTCCAATTTAAATATTGATGTAACCATCCAGTGTATGAGACTTTATAGATACGTTGCTTTTGTGTGATTGTTGCCGGAAAAAGATGGCGCTATGAGTTAGTTTGTGCTGCTGCTTTAAGGTACCATCTCGCTATTAGGTATCTAGCTGCTTCTAGCTTCCTTGTTGCTGTCATGTCCCATGCAGCTGTGATGCGCCATGTTGCTGTCATGTATCATGTAGCTGTGAGATACCGTGTAGCTTTGAGGTACCGCGTAACTGTGAGGTACCGTGTAGCTGTGAGGTATCCTGTAGCTGTCATGTACTGAGCAGCTGTGAGGTACCGTTCAGCAGTTAGGTACCGTGTAGCTGTGAGGTACCGTTCAGCAGTTAGGTACCGTGCAGCTGTGAGGTACCGTGTAGCTGTCATGTACCGTGTAACTGCAATGAATCGTGTTGTGCAGGACGTGATATTGGAGAAGGACGGAGGACCAATGGGCCTCAGCATCATCGGCGGGTCCGACCATTTCTGCATGCCGTTCGGGTCTTCAGTCGACGACCCTGGCATTTACATATCCAAAGTGAGACCCCGCATTGTAATGTCAAAGTTCCTTTTTTGAAGCTCGTTAGCTGTAAGAAGTGAACCTGAGATAATAGAATAATGCCCAGACCATGAGAATATCTGCTATTCGTTTAGTTGTTCTTTCTTATTCATGTAATTAAACCATTTATGACTGAAAATACGCTGCCATCACCAATGCTCATTCTTATCAATCAGCTATGTACGCTATTCTAACAATGACCATCTGATAAATAAAGCTCTTGTAACAACGTTCATCTGATAAATAAAGCTCTTGTTACAACGTTCATCTGATAAATAAAGCTCTTGTTACAACGTTCATCTGATAAATAAAGCTCTTGTTACAACGTTCATCTGATAAATAAAAGCTCGTGTGACAATGTCCATCTGATAAATAAAGCTTTTGTTACAACGTTCATCTAATAAATAAATCTCTTGTAACAATGTCCATCTGATAAATAAAGCTCTTGTAACATCGTCCATCTGATAAATAAATCTCTTGTAACAATGTTCATCTGATAAACCACTTTTTATAACTAGTAGTTACGTGATTGTCAATCTGATGACGCACCATGTGGTCAGATCACGGCGGGGGGGTCGGCGCACCGCACAGGGCGGCTGCGCATGGGTGACCGCATCCTGGCGGTGGACGGCGTGGACATGAGCAACGCGACGCACCAAGAAGCCGTCCTAGCGCTGCTGCAGCCTCCTCACCAGATCCGTCTCACCGTACGCCATGATCCTCAGCCTCGGGGACTAATGGTCAGTGCCATGGTCTCTTCACTTCGTAGTGAAAGAAATACTGTGTTTCAAGATGCGCTATGTTAAATTGCTATTTCTTTCCTAGAAGGCCTTTATCTCGTACTTTAATGAAGTTTTGACTGTATAGGCTTGCTCTATCTTATCAATGATGCGAAACACCAAGTAATTGAGTTATATGCTTGTATTTGGGATTGGCGACTCGTTATACTTGGGTAAAATATTTAGATTTTAATGAGAGGCTGTTGTTATATTTGAACATTTTTTAATCAGAAACGAATGTTACTAAGTTTTTAAATTGCTAAGATTCGCTGAATTTGTTTGTAACTGTACTTGTTACTGTATTGCATTGATTAGGTCGTATAAATTTGAAGTGATTGAAGGTTTCATTATTATAATTTTATTATTGATCTGCAATCTCCTTAATTCAGTCAGGTTGCGACCGCAGCATCTGAGGCTTTACTCTGAGTATTTGCGTTTACGAGTTTTCGTATGAAATAGCTTATGGCAAAAATCGTACAGAGAGAGGGTTACAATAAAACACTGGTACGTTTTTATTAAATTGGAAAATTCAAGTCACATCCTACGTTTATAAAAATCTCGAGCACAGGAAAAAGAAAATTCGAATGCAATCAAAGTTAAAATCTATCTGTTAACATCTGTTAAACTTTCAAATTACCAGTAACATTGACCCATTGCAGTTCCGTTGAGTAGTACGACCGTCATAAACGACCTTACTTCACGCACACGTTTGCGGCCGATGTGAAGAATCGCCTTGAATGCTTATCTTCGTTGTGTATCTATTATCTTCGTTGTGTATCTCTTATATTTGTTGTGTGCAGGAGGTGATCATTAAGAAGGTGCCTGGAGAGCGCCTGGGCATGAACATTAAGGGCGGCGTTGGAGGCACGCCAGGCAACCCCTTCAATAAAACTGATGAGGGAATATTTATATCAAAAATAAATGCTTCTGGAGCAGCTAACAGAGATGGACGTTTGCACGTAAGACGCTGTTATAATTCTATATGTTTAAATCATAATCTTTCTTCTCACAATGTCTGATTACTCCTTAGCAATTTGCTTTAGTGAATGTTATATAATAAATTGCTTGACGCAAAGTGTTCTGAATATTAGCACGTTTCAGTTGATGTTCTGAACTAAGGCTGAAAACTCAACTCCTTGGATGTTTGATGGAACTTAAAACTAAAGTGTTCCTGTGATAACCAGTATTCAGTACAAAGGTATGTATTAATTAATCTGAATTATTTAAATATAATTCATTCTTTTTAACTTGAACTCGCGTGAAGTGTTCCTGTGATAACGAGTGGTATTCAGTACAAAGGTATGTATAAATAAATGTAAATTATTTAAACATTATTCATTCTGTTTAACTTTACCTCGCGTTGGTGCAGGTTGGCCAGCGCATCTTAGAGTTCAACGAGAGCTCCCTGCTGGGCTGCACGCACGACGAGGCCGTCACGACGATGCGCTCTGCCGGCACCACCATACGCCTCGTCGTCTGCGACGGCTACGACCATCACCTCGTGAGTGTCTGGGATACGGCCATCACCTCGTGAGTGTCTGGGATACGGCCATCACCTCGTGAGTGTCTGGGATACGACCATCACTTCGTGAGTGTCTGGGATACGGCCATCACCTCGTGAGTATCTGGGATACGGCCGCAATCGTATCTTATTCGTGTTCATTTCTAGCTCGCATTTAATTTTATTCGGTCACAGAGCAGTGCTCAAATCCAAAAACACGTAATCCTATGTTCATGCTTGCTACTCTTGCGTAGCTGGTATTCTTTGATTCTGTAATCATCTCTAAATCAAACTTTTATCACTCGACTCAATTCAAAAATGCCTTGGCATCCAGGATGACAACATCTCTTCCCGCAGTCATGATTTTTTCGCCAGTGGAGCAGATACGTTTAATTTACTGGCGCTTTTAATTTTTTTTGTGCCGTGAAAAAATATTTTTGCTTTATGTGTTGTCTTTAAAAAGTACTTTTCAAACGAATACTATTCACTAATCCTATTGCCTGACAGTCTCAGCAGCTGAAGGTGGAAGGGAGACTGGGCAACGACTCCCGCTCGGCCAGTCAGTCCGTCTGCTCTCTCGAAAGAAACGAATCAGAAGAACATGCAAGTCCGCAGCAGGTCCGAATTTATGAAATTTTAGTACCGTATTTGTCATATCTTTTTATTAAATTCATTTTTTAGTTGACCATGTACAGTATTATAAAATTATTTGCTTGAATCAGTAATAACTATTGGGTAGTTGAAACGCAACTTACTTCGATGATACCCCTCACTGCTCACATGAGGTACTCGCTTACGTTCAGGCCCATAATTGGTATTGAAAAGAAAAACATTATATTTTTGGGTACTATGAGCGATACAAACTCCGTGATCCCGATACCATAATTGTAACATCGTAAATTTGTCATTGTGCTACCATCTAAGTTTTGAACGAAGCTCGTCAATCAGTTACATGTAGCCAGTCAATTGCCGTGCGTGACCAGGTGTCATGGCACCAGACGCCAGAGTTGATGTGCTGTGTCATGACCAGGTGCCATGGCGCCAGAGTTGATGTGCTGTACCGTGACCAGGTGCCATGGCGCCAGAGTTGATGTGCTGTACCGTGGCCAGGTGCCATGGCGTCAGAGTTGATGTGCTGTGTCATTACCAGGTTCTGGATGTGGTGCGTGCGGCAGAGCAGCTAGCGGAGGAGGCAGCGCCGGCGCTCACGAGAGGCGATGCTAAGACCACCACCGTCGTGCTCGGCCAACAGCAGCAGCTGCAGCCACCGGTCAGTGCGACTTGTAGTTACTCTACTGTACAAGCTGATGCTTTAACGGTATTTTTTTTGTAATGTGACCTCTGATCTTGCCGTTTTTTTCTTATTGCAGTAGGTCTCTGTAGTATTGTATTTCTGCAGCATAATTTATTCTTGTGAACTGCATTCCTTACAAGTTTGTTATGTTCCTCGTGTATCAACTGCGTTCTATGTAATCGACCGTATAATTTTCAACTTGGTAATTCGTATTCAAATTTAATCTCCATTGAAGCTTAGTTTTCCCCTCAAATAGTTGTCATTCAACTGTAAAATTGTTTATGTAAACAACTTTTTTTTTTGTAAAAAAATGCTGTGAGCAGCACAGTATTTCAACATCTCAAGTAGCTAAATTTGTTGAAGCACGCTCTATTAAACAAGTTTTTTTACGACAAAGGAAGAGGTCACGTTTCAGAAAATGATTTCGGGGTTTACGGTGCATTATTGACGTTGTTTGGCATAACGTATATTGTTTACGCTATTGGGGCTATGGTATATTAACTTTGTTGAGCCTGTCGTACTGTTACATGATTAACTTATGTTGGGATACATTGATTGTAACGTTGGGACCATGGTGTATGGTTAACGCTGATAATGAGATTAAAGCTTTTACCTTGTGTCCTGTCCATGTATGTAAATTATTGCGTATCTGATGTACTGAGCTCGCTTTTATATTCGTACGCGGTATTTAATTGTAAATGGTTTGCCTGTGGTTGAGGTGGTTGCCATCTAAGCGTGTACAGGCGTGCGGGACAGACAGGCGGGTTGTTCCTCTAACTCGTGGCTGCTTCTGTTGCAGGCCGCCGCTACTGCGCCCGCCGCTGCCGTACAATGATGTCACATTGCCAGCTACTGCCTTCCTTCCTATACTACTGCCATACTACCTACTCTAATTTATCACCTTCATATCCTTATTATTCATTTTATACTACGCTTCTATTTTTCTATGAGTCATTACTCTCTTGTTTTTGTTAGTTACTACTTCCATCCTTATCTCATATTCATTCTTTCAATAATTCTTTCTTCATTGCCTTCCCTTACTCCTACCCTAGGCCTTCTTATTTCATTCCATCAGCATCTATTTTGTACTTCTTCCCGCTGCTTTATGCCTCTTGTTCCTTTTTTTTTAGCCCCATTCCTCTCCCTTCTCTTCCCTTCTCATGCCCACAAAGTCTCCAGGGGGTCTTAGATTGTCGTCATGTAAATGTTGTATATCATAAATTACTTTTCTACTATATTAACTTTATTGTTGAGGGTGTAACAGTGTAATGTATTTTGTCAGAACTTCCAAATGACTCTGTATACATCTATATTCTCATGATTTCAACGGTCTTTCACTGTCCTGATCTTCGTTGTACTGTATGTCGTTTCAGCGTGCGCGCTTGGCTCCGTTATTTTATGCAGGCAAATCGTCGTAAAGATTTGAACTAGTTGAGGATCTTGCGTATTTTCCCTCTTCGTAAACTAGAGAGTACTTACTGAGAATGAAATAAAATAGACGACGAATTTCATTATGTTTTGATCACTTGTAAGTATATAGATCTCGTCTGGATGAGCTGGATTCATAGCGTTGGGTTGCTAATGTGGAAAAATTGAGAGAATATATTTCCTTACCAGGGAAATTGCAACCTTATCCGGTATAATTTTCCTCCACGCATGACGGAGTTGGGAATGCAGCGTGTCAAATATTAGTATATTATATATTATATATATTAGCCTTTATAAGTCCGCAAATTGCCATTTTATCGTTGACGAGAATAATTTCAAAGTAGAAACAGCTCCATTATGTTGATCAGCTGGTGGATCTGAATGGCCAAATGTCACTCCTACTGCCCTAGAAGTACGTAAATCGAGGTAATATTTGTAAAGAAGAATATTAACTTGATTTAAACAGCCGCCACCTCTTCCGTTCCAAGCCCTACTGTTCTCTATTTTTTCGTGTACACCTAAGCCGTTGTTAGTTAGTTTCAGCTCTCGCCCCAAACTCGATTGATCTCTTGTCACTGTAGGTTCTCAAGACGGCCCGGCCACACTTTGCAGCGCTGTCTCTACTGCGATAAGTTACTCTTCCTACCTCAACTTTAATAGATATAGGTCTTTATAGTTTCGTTTAATTAAGGGAATCTCAACCATTTTTCTATATGATATCGCTTTCCACGTCTCCTTTTTTTTACAACGGTTAGTACAAATAGGAACACCGGACTTCGCACCTCCCAACAAAATTTGTGGTGAACTTTTAACTTTTTTCCCTAATATCTGTGGTATCCAAATTTTTGACACCACTAGCAATGTGGAGAGCCGTAAAACATTAGTTATATTATCCGGTTTTCCTGATAATGGTTTTATTTCCTGGTAATGGCTTTCCTTCTGAAAGGCGAGTCTCCGTGGCTTTCTGCCAGACGGCACTCTCAAGATGGATGTCATGATAAGTTCTCATCTCATTATATTAAATTTGTAAAATTTTTTACAGTTCGTGTTTTTTTTAGCAGCTTCATATTGAACATTCTTATGCATTTTCCCTCTACGGTTTAATTTTTCCGCCTCAGAGATGGTAGAATTTGTGTTTATTGTTACGCATGCTTACATTTTCTACATACGGGTCTACTTCTATTATGCCGATTACTCATGTGAACGCATGTGCACGCGGTTTTTAGATTTCCATTGAATTTATTCTATTGGTTCCGCCTTCCTTCATTGAGAGTAGCCTAATTCATGGGGCAATGATAGACAAAAAGTGCTTCAAGGCTTCATTTTGTCTAGTCTCTTTTAAAGTGCAGTCTCTGTTAGTGTGAAAACAAAGTAACCATGGCTGCAAGCTGTAAGACCAAACAATAATTCAGAAAAACGAAGCCATAAACATAAAATTTGTCGGCATATTTAATTCAAATACAACTGCATTTTAAATTTTTTAACTTATTAATATAGGAGATAAAGCAAATTAGATATAATCCTTGCAGCTATAAAATTAATCGAAGCCTGTCATTTTGGTTAATAAGTGTGATGTGTTTTTGTGATTTTATGTGCGAGTTCTGGACCAGGAAGTAAGAGCCTCAAAACGTTAGTGTGAAGTTTTTGTTATCCGATTTCACGTGCCTGGCCTCCATTTTCCGCTTGCCAAAAATGCTCGTTTCTTTGTTTATGTTTTGGAATGACGGGCTTTGGGTTTGCGGTGTCTTGTTTACTTTGTTAAGTTTAGCTCTTAGATTAAATGGTTTGTACTGCTTGATTGAACGCTAAGTATACGTGCCTATTTTGCCTTTTGTTTCATTCTTTCTATTTATCTCATAAGCTTGTGATTATTTAGGATTTTTGTCTAGTTATTAGCTAGCTTTGATTATTTTTCACTTGATTTCAGCAGTTATGCTTGGGGATTTTTAACTGATTTTTTTACTACGCCTTTATGTCTCAGACTTTTTTTGCCACGTCGTACCGTATGTCGTGTTTGTAAAATTCATTCTTGCTTTACGTTCAACGGTCTGCGATATGCAGGATTTCTTGGATCATATATAATCTAAAAACTCGATAGATTAGATGAGATTATTTTCGAGAAGCAGGAGTTGATTTGCTGCACTTATTTAGTAATGACAAGTAAAATCATTTTCCAGTTCGACGCATCCAGATGATTGATTATTTGCACGTTTAGGGAAATTCGCGGTTCACAGAAGTAAAGTACAATATTTTTTTGTTTAATTAAAATATTTTTTGCTATTATTATGATGAAAATAGTGTTTTCAGTTGGCACTTGAAATGGTCAACTTCATTGATACGACGCAGGTTTCTTTTCGCTTCATGAAATATTTATTATTTATATTCATGACTCGGGCCCGAAAATTCCTAGCAAAAATCTACCCAGAAAATACTTTGTATTCGAAAAGGACTTCTAGGTCGCGTGACGATTGGTTTTCCACTTAGTAGAAAAGCATATTGGGAGTGAGTGAACTGTTCTCAATAAGTCAATTGCCCTTGTATGATGAGATGAAGGGAACTCTGAGAGCAAGTCTACAGTCAGCAATGATTATCTTGGATGCTCTGAAATTTAACGCTTAGAATACGGAGATTAAAATTATGACTGTAAAAGATAGTGCAGCGGAGGGTTGCGCTCTCAAGTGCGTTCTTATGTTTACATTGACATTCGAACAATAGGTTAGTTGTTACGAAGTTATGTTTCACGACCTGCAAATTAACCAACATTAACCAATTGCCTTGATTGTGTACCTGTTAGTGCCCTGCGATAGTCAGTAGCTGACGTGATATTCAGTCACTGACTTAGCGATAGTCAGTAATTACCAAATAAATGCGACATAATGATATTCCTACCTGAACAGCGATAGTCAGTAATTGCCAAATAAATGGGACATAATGATATTCCTACCTGAACTATGGTTCAGTTATGCCTTACTAAGTAGCCTTCATTAAAATGTTGCCGTGGTCAGGCGCCTGATAAGTCGCCCGTCATCTCGCCGCACAGGATGACCCTCAAAGAGAAGATGAAGTTCTTCGAGGAGGAGATGAGTGAGAAGCATCCAAAAGGTGGGACCTAAGAACAATAATTTAGCGTCATATTTAACCTGACGCAATACTTTACATGATTATGTCTGTGTAACGCGGGACCTTTCGGGTAGTAGTGCATTATTTTTTTATGGCTCCTACATTGTTAATTTATGCTTCTGGAACGTTGGATACGATGAAGATAATTTCTCAGGTTGTGTACATTCATTAGTAGGATATTAGCATAGTTGAGCGGAAGTAGTCCTTAAATGCAGGTTTCATTGAAGACCAGTGGGTTATTATTATTATCAATTTTCTTCTTGTTCTTGATTTCGCGAATTAAACTTTTTGTTTGGCTTGAAAGTTAGAATATTATTGGGTCTCTAAGGATTTAGGATTGGGTCTCATTTTATTGGATTGGGTCTCATTTTATTGGATTGGGTCTCATTTTATTTTATTCCGGGTTAACACCGCACTGTTAAAATAATCATTTGTAGGAGTCACTGTCTCGCGTGGGAACGGGAATTGTAGCCATTCTGTAAATCTTTGCATCGACAGAATTACGTCCCAACATTTCTGCGTCAGAAATTAGACTGGAATAAAATGAAAAAATAAAAAATAAAACTGATGATGATTTTTAAGAATTATTTTTCTGTTTGCGTTCTTTAATTGAAAGTCTCATTAATACTTTCCATTAATAATTTTATCTTTTATTTTTCACCTTGTTTATGGTATTGATTATAGATTTATTTTAAACCTAATTATTATACGTGTTCTTCACCTATCATCATGTGTGCACTTTACTTTGAGTTGACGTTCGCTCGTTTCCCGCCTGCAGAGAAGAAGACGTTCTCGTATCTGAGTCCTGATGAAATTAACAGGATGAAGGAGTATGAAGGTGAGTTTAGGCTGCTATGTCTTCAAATTAATACGGAAATTTATCAGACTATTTAGTTGGTGATTTTTACCTTCCAGAACGATAGAGTTTCTCTACCACCCTCATCATACTTATGAATGGTTCGCTGCATCTCACCAGAGTGTATCGATTTACTCTCATCACGCTGGTTCAGGAATTTTCAACTTAATGCCATTTAGATATTGTTTCCTTTAATATTGTTCCTCTTTAGTAGTCAGAAGCCGAAGTTATGAAGTACTAATTGTTAGAGTGAGTTCACATGTACGCACGTGCTGGAGAAAATATCAGAGGAGACTGCCTTATTCTGTAAAGCTAGTATTCTGTAGAGGGTAGTTATTCAATATTAGCTGTCTCTTCTATCAGTCGTGTTGAAGCAGTCGAATTTAGATGACCGTTTGAAATTAAATTAGTTCGTTGTCGAGCGTCAATAAAACTAAGATATATTTGATGAAGCTCCTCCAGAAAAATTAGTACTCCTTGCAAGTAACTTGAATGGAACTAGAATTTATTAACAATCTTACATGAAAGCTCTTGCTGAAATTATGCTGTAGAAAGTATCGGATAAAAGTGCTTATTTCTCTGCATGGTTCCAATTCGTATGAAATTTTTCTGCTTAGCAAGTTCCACATATACACGAATTGGAAAAAAAATGAATTAAATATTAATCATGGGCTGGAAAGTGTTTTTTTTTTTTTTTGAAGACTAAGATGTTTCAAAAAGAACACCCTTTTTCATAATCGAACAATTAATTGAAACATCGATGTAGGCAACATAGTACCGTCGTATTCAACGAGGAGTATGTAAATGTTCTAGAAAAGTGGAACCGATTAAAAATTTATGAACTCTTAATAAGAAAATTAAATACAAATAGGAATGCAACACGTGCAAGCGCTGAGGCCGAGTAATGTCTGACGGACCGCATGCCGCTCACGGGCCGAAGTTCGCTCACGTCTGATAAAGAGAAAAAATGAGTAGAGTGTCCGGATGGTAATGATCACAAAATACATTTTGTGATTTTATTTTATTAACTGAAATATGGAGTCCTCATATGACTGCTGGCGTTCGGGTCCCGGACCGCCAATTGCCTTTGCTAACCTCCGAGCTCGAAGCTGACTGAGCATTAAAGAATTGCATGAGCAATTGAAGAATTGCATGAGCATTATTGAGCATAAATAATGCTCATTAAGAGCATTATTGAGGATAAATAATGCTCATTAAGAGCATTATTGAGCCTAAATAATGCTCATTAAGAGTATTAAAGAATTGTACAAACTCGTGTGCAGAGCGGCTGGCCAAGACGGATCCAATGCTCAACCAGCTTTCTGATGACGATGAGAAAACTGATGATGACGAGCTGGTGGATGAGCTGGCTCAGCAGCTGGGAGGCAGCCAACTGTCCCCTTCACAGCTGGCTTCTCTGAATAGGAATGAAGACCACCAGGAACCTATTCAGAGGTGAGATCTTGATGCTCAGGCTTTCAAATAAAAATATTTATGGGTTCCAATGGCACATTTACCGTAATTTTCAATGAACCGCAATGTTGTGGGAGGCATTTGGACATTGAGGCCCTGGAGGCCCTGATTCTACGACACCTTGTTTACGCATTACTTCCAACACGGACTGAATTATTGCGCGTTGTTGGTGAAAAGCGTGTTATATAAAGCGCTCGTTGTTTGTGGAGCTCTCATGACTTTATAAGTGCCTTTTTTAGCTTATGTTGATGTTTTAGAGTAAACGTACCGCGCGTACGAACCGTGAACGCTGAGAAGCGAGCGCAGCAGCAGACGACGGCCGCGGAAGAGGAGGCCGCGCAGCTAACGGCCGCAGACAAGCGCAGACTCGACGCTGAGAAGCGCGCCGCCTGGAGGAAGGAACGTCTCAGGAGTCTCGAAGATGTGGGTTACGAGGGGACGAGGGTCTCGACTGTTGGGGGCATGGGTGTTGACTGTTGGGGGCATGGGTGTCGACTGTTGGGGTTGTTGGGGGCATGGGTGTTGACTGTTGGGTACGTGGGTGTTGACTGTTGGGGGCATGGGTGTCGACTGTTGGGTACGTGGGTGTTGACTGTTGGGTACGTGGGTTTTGACTGTTGGGGGCATGGGTCTCGACTGTTGGGGACGAGGGTCTCGACTCTTGGGGGCATGGGTGTTGACTGTTGGCTACGTGGGTGTTGACTGTTGGGTACGTGGGTGTTGACTGTTGGGTACGTGGGTGTTGACTGTTGGGTACGTGGGTGTTGACTGTTGGGTACGTGGGTGTTGACTGTTGGGGACGAGGGTCTCGACTGTTGGGGACGAGGGTATCGACTGTTGGGGACGAGGGTCTCGACTGTTGGGGACGAGGGTCTCGACTGTTGGGGACGAGGGTCTCGACTGTTGGGGAAGAGGGTCTCGGCTGTTAGGGAAGAGGGTCTCGACTGTTGGGGACGAGGGTCTCGACTGTTAGGGAAGAGGGTCTCGACTGTTGGGGACGAGGGTCTCGACTGTTAGGGAAGAGGGTCACTGTTGGGGAAGAGGGTGTTAGGGACGAGGGTCTCGACTGTTAGGGACGAGGGTCTCGACAGTTAGGGACGAGGGTATCGACTGTTGGGTATCCATAGTATTCAACCCGATGCCACATAAGGTTGCTTGCTATGCTCTGTTTTTCTTTTAATTCTAAAAAACTCGTGAAAACATTAAATTATTTTTCTTCTGCCTGCCCCAGGACGCTGTGGAAGCTCAGCACGTCATTGACCAACTCACCGAGCTCTCCAACGCTTCCTTTGAAAGTGAGAATTTGAAGAATCATTTTCATTTTGATTAACAATTAGTATACGCATAAATTAACTTTCTCCAATGTCAATGTCATGAT